AGATAGATAGATAGATAGATAGATAGATAGATAGATAGATAGATAGATAGATAGATAGATAGATAGATAGATAGAGGGATAGGAAGATGGATAGATAGGATAGGATAGGATAGGATGATAGATAGGATAGGAAGATTGATGGATGAATTGATAGGAAAGGAAAGGAAAGGAAGATAGGTAGGTAGGTAGGTAGGTACGTACATACATACATACATAGATGATAGGATAGGAAAGGAAGATAGGTAGATAGATAGATGATAGATAGATAGACAGACAGATAGATTAGATAGGGCAGGGCAGGGTAGGATAGGATAGGGCAGGAATGGAATGAAATGGGAAGAGTATGAGGTGGAAGGGACCTTGGAGGTCTTCTAGTACAGCCCCCTGCTCAAGGAGGAGAACTTATACCATTTTAGACAAGTGACTGTCTAGTAGTCTCTTCTTGAAAACAAAATTTTATGCTGGTTCTTATTTTGTTTTTATAGTACTTCTGCTGTTCTTTTCTCTGGCATATCAATACTTAAGGAAATCTGTGTCAGATCATCTGAAAAAGGAGGCACATGTGGGCACCAATATGGCCCAGATAGATCTCTGTTTTTCTTCCAGGCTGTGGTTCTGGGAAGATTCTTTGAATTAAACTATAATAGTTGCCTTGCTACAAAATTGGAGAAGTGTTGGCTGCTAAACCTGATTGGGAATCCTCCCTCAAAAGTGTCCATGGAGATTATCAGCCATCCGGGTCACGGTTGTCCCAAAGGTGCTTTTTCAAGAGGCAACTGGACTTTAAGGCACCTTTGGGCCTCCATTCCCCCCCTCCAAGGTCTCCCGGTTCTTAAAAATGGGAGGTGCGGCTCAACTCAAAGGAAACTCAAGATGGGACTGGAGACTCAAAGATACCTGAGATTGCAGCCAGGAGAGGTAGAACAAGGAAGGGTTTCTTTGCAAGAGAGAGATGCGCCAGGAAACAGACTCCGCTTCCTGTATTTGCATTCTGTGGCGCGCCCGCTCTAAGGTGGGAGTTTAGGATCGCTGCCGCGCCGCCCTGGATTTGCCAATGCGAGCCTCAGGTTGGTAACCTCGAGAGAAATGGTGGCAGTGAGCCTCTTGCCTTTGCTTTGTACCTCTCCACAACCCACGCTCGGGTTAGTTGGCTCGTTCTTCGTTGGGGACCAGCCCCCACCCCTTGCGGGCTTCTATGTGTTAAGCGAGGCACGGATGCTGGAGAAGAAGGGAGGCCGGCTGCGTTCATACAATACGTTTATCTCAGAGGCTGAATTAATCATGGAAGTCAGAAAGACATGGAATTTTCTTTCAGCGAGTTTCGGCCAACCACTCTCTCCTCCCACCCCCCCGCAAATTTAGCCCTCTTAAACTTGTGCGAAGGCAGCTGTGGGGTCTTTCACCATCACCCAACTTTGCTACGACGAACTGGAGCTTCACTTGGAGGGGGAGGGAATAGCCACGCCGTTGTCATTTTTTCCACGGGGTGAGGAGCTGAGTTCACACGATACGGGTACCTCGCTGTTGCCATTCGAGCACACGCATAACGCGTAGTTGCCAAGGCCAAACCCCTATTTGCCAGGTAGCCGATAAACACGCGGGCTGAAAACGTGGTTAGTTTGTGTCTCGCCCATTCTAGGAGCCGCCAGGTGCGGCAAAAGGTTTTCTGGATCTTTTTATTCTGATTCTGCCTGTCGCTGCCCTGCCCACATTCTAACTTGGGTGCCCACTGAGGCAAAAATCGTGGGCGCTCCATCAGCGTAGGGAGTCCCTAAAACTAGACAGTCCCTTATCTGAAATAGCATAGGTTCTCCTGCTTGAGCAGGGGGCTGGACTAGAAGACCTCCAAGGTTCTAAGCGAATAACCCCATGCTAAGATAACATTGTGGTATGGGAGGGCTATTTAGTAGATCGGGGCTCGGTAAGGCGATCCCACGAAGTTTCTGCAGAAATGGGAACAGATCGCAGATTGAGCCTTGCTTTTTCTGTCCCCCTCCCCCGTTGGGTTCTTTCTCTGTCCCCAGACAGCTCCCTTCCCTATCAGTCTTTGGGCTGAGAGTGCCTGCAAGAGGAGGGGACAGAAGCTAACTTTGCCCATACCACCCCTCCCCCCCCCCAGTTTGGACACCTCTTCAACCGGCCTGGCTCGGCGCTTAGGTGCGCTTTGCTTAGCCACGGTTTGCAGACTAAATCCAAACGGCTTCTTGAGTCGAGCGCAATGCGTAAGAAGCCACCCTAAGACGTAAGAATCTCTCGAAGCCCTTAACTAGTCTCCCTTTGAGGTAGACTACCCCACTCCAGGGCCGTTCCATTTCTCCTTCCAAACAGGCGCAAACGCTTTGCTTACAGACCGCAAATCCCTACCCCACACAGTCTTTGAAGGGCTCAGTAAATTACTGACCATCGATAAATGCGCTTTGCTCCCAGAGAGGAAAAAAAAAAAAGCTAGGTTTCCAATTCTTGCAAAACAACGAGCCTCCGTTCAACGACCGAGGGGGATGAAGTGAAATATTCAGTGGAGTGGTTAAATGCAGCACTGCAGGCTACTGCTAGATCAGCAGTTCAGCGGTTCAAATCTCACCGGCTCAGGGTTGACTCAGCCTTCCATCCTTNGGACATCAGGTGTGAAATGAGTTTGAGTCCTTCCCGGCTCTCAAGTGTTCTCATGGTTTACTCAGCCATTACACACTGCAGAGAGAGAAAGAAGTGAAACAAGAGAAACTCTATCCAGTTCCGAACTCTTGTGTGACAAGCTGGGGAAAGGGATGTGAGACAGGACTGTTAGTAAGATAGAATGCAAATATTTTGTTGAAGCATTTGCAAAATAGATGCAGATGAATCTCTTCCAGGTTCCCGGGTGTGCCGTGTGAAGTCACGTACATACGACTCAAAAAAGAGTTTCCAAATCATGAGATATGAGACGTCTACTCTAGTGAAAAGAAGGACCAGGAGTGACATGATAGCAGTCTTCCAATATTTGAGGGGCTGCCACAAAGATGAGAGGGGTCAACTTATTTTCCAAAGCACCCAAAGGCAGGACAAGAAACAATAGATGGAAACTAACCAAGAAGAGAAGCAACCTGGAACGAAGGAGAAATTTCCTAACGGTGAGAGCAATCAACCAGTGGAACAGCTTGCCTTCAGAAGTTGTGGGTGCTCTATCACAAAATAGAGACTGAGCAGCCATTTCTCTGAAATGGGTATAGACTCTTCTTGCTTGAGCAGGGGGTTGGACTAGATGACCTCTGAGGTTATCTTCCAACTCCTTTATTCTATGTTCTGTGAGATGCAACAGAGATTCCTCTCTGTTCTCGGCTGGTCAGATTCCCACATCTTAACCAAGATTCAGAAAAACTGGGAGAGGGGGAAACCCCTCCCAAAAGGTGGGTAAAACGAGGACCCAGATTGTTGGGGGCAAGAGGCTTGATTCCTGTTAGAATGCCGTACTGCAGGCTAATTATGCTGATTGCCAGCAATTTGATCCTGAGTGGCTCAAGGTTGACTCAGCCTTCCCTCCTTCTGAGGTCAATAAAACGAGGACCCAGATTGTCGGGGGCAAGAGGCTGACTCTGTAAATTGCTCAGAGAGGGCTGTAAAAGCACTGTGAAGCGATATAT